AGGACTCTAACATTTTGTGGCAACAGTTTGAAAAGTGAACCGACGTTTATGAGTCCGACGCAAAATCGCAAAACGAAAACAATAGTCCTTCAGGGACAAAGCCCCTTTGGACTAAAAACAATATTACATGGTTGGTATGATTGTTAATACATTATATGTCTCCCAGACGATGCAATACAGTCCGTACAACGCCTAGGCATGCTGAGTATCAAATTATCGATCTGACCTTGGGGGATATTACACCACTCAAAAAGCAATGCTCTCCGAAGTTCCGGTAGACATGTAGAAGGAGGTTGACGGGCGGCAACTCGTCGGCCAAGCATGTCCCACACGCTCTACTGGATTCAAGTTCGGTGAGAATGCTGGCCAGTCCATACGAGTGATATCCTCTGATTGAAGGCATTCGCTTACGATGTTTGCACGGTGAGAACGGCGTTGTCATCCATAAACACAAATTGTTGCGCCCATGGCGCCCCGAAACAAACGTACATGTTGTTCCAGAATGACGTCCCGATAGATTTGGCTTGTCATGGTTCCAATTTGAACATTCAGGTCAGTTCTGGAACCCAGAATAATTCCACCCCAAACGAGCACTCCTGCACCACCGTAACGGTGTCGTTCAATGATGTTTTCTTTTTGGGGTAACGGGTACCTGGAGCTCTCCATATGAAAGTCTGGCGAGAATCAGACTGCAAGCTTAACCTGGACTCGTCGGAAAACATCACACAAGCCCTCTGTTGCGGTGTCTACAATGCATGCTCTCTACTCCAGGCTAACCGCAGGCGACAGCGAGTTGCAGTAAGTGGAACGCATCTGACAGGTCTACGAGCATATAGACCAACCTGCCCTAAGCGTCTGTACACGGTCTGCCTTGAAATTGTCGTACCAGTGGCTGAAGAGAGCTGACGAGACAGGTCTGAGGCTGTGCTTCGCCTGTTTCTTTTCGTAGTAACTGCCAAATACTGGTCCTCATTCGGCGTTCTAACTCTGTGGCGACCTGTGTTGTAACGTCTACTCACATTACCATCATCTTGGAATCGTTGCCAAAGCCTGGAGATGACACTCTGGGCAGTTCCCAGTTCGACTGATACTTCCAGTTGGGTACGCCCACATTCCAGACGGCCGATAATTCTACCACGTAAAAAATCCTCCAAATGCCTCCTTTGTGTCATAACTATTCGGTTATTGCACTGAAATGCTTATAACGCGCCTGCAAACAATTTTACTTCTTTGCATGTATTCCTATATATCACTCTCTTACACTGTCATCATTGTGACGTACCATCGGTGTCATCTGGTTACTTCCTGAAATTTGCATATGATTCTTGAAGATGTATGTAGTGATTTACAGGTGATATATTTATTTTAGAGTTCGATTTCCGCGTGACTCCGAATATCCTTAATCTTCTGGACATGAGTGTATTTAATGAATTGCTGCATCAGCGCAAATTAAGGAATTTGTTTAGAGTGTTTCCCCAAACCTCTTTTTCATATGTATATAGCGACCCTTGCCCGATTAGTTAAAAGTCACTAGACATTGAGTGTTTTTTTTTTTTTTTTTTTTTTTTTAACGTAGGGGATAGTGTATTGTAGATTTATTACGAACTAAAATATATTTTACAAGAATATTTCTTTAGAAAGGAGCATTATCCTAAATAATCATCTTCTTTAACAATGTATGTCTTCGTAACGATTGTATGTCCTCTTTAACGATGAAACTGGTTAACAAATTTCTTTCTAAAATTCCATTTTATTTGAATCTATCTCTCATATTAATTTTCATTACCGTACTTCGCTTTCATTATTTTACCCGTTAAAGCAAAAGAAATGCTTAATAGAATTCAGTATTTGAAAACTTCCACTCCAAAAATTCTCCTCTTGACAAATGATCTAATGTAGCGTTTGTTTACATGCTATGGCGTGTCTTTTAACGAAAATGACCTTGCTAGATGTAGTCAGTTTTAAATTGTCCTGTTATTGTATCCTATTTTATCACACGAGGGGTCATGCAGTTACTGCGGAAGAATTTAAAGAGTTTGCGTCAGGTATTTTGCTTTCGAATGTGCCACGTTTTCCGGACCAATCAAAAATCAGCATTACCCTCTTCTAAGTAATTTTAATTTGTTTTGTATTCTGTCTTACCAGTATGCAAATGAAGTTTCTTCTCTGAAGAAGGTGTCTTCTGCATATTTCTTTCAAAGCATAAACACGGCTCGTTTCACAAAGATAGAATTTTTTTTTCCTACATTAAAATGATTGTTTGGTACTTTTCCGTTTTGCCGGCGCAGGCGATAAAAGTCGCCAATAATGGTACAACTGATGCCAAACGGAATATCCTCGCTGGTAACCTTTTACGCATCAAATTCAAAACAAATGGCAGCATTTCTTATCAGATTGGATTGTTTCTTTCAATCCTAGCATATAATTACATAGAATTTTTATCAAAAAGTTCAATTTTATGCCATAAGGCCATTCACGGTAATTAAGTCAATTAGGATGCAATCACACCCCTCACCCGAAAGCGAAAATGTAGAAAAGGCAAGGGATAAATTCATCCATTCTAATGAGAATGCACAAGGGAAGTAAAGCACTATGGTTTTACATAATTTCTGAGTAGCTATTCGTACGAATTGAAATAATTCTTGCATTTAAACCTGAATTCCAAATTAAGATTTAACTTAAAATTATTGTAGATAATTACTAAGAAAATTAGATTTTTGCAGCGTAGTTTACGCGAGATGAGATCACTAGGGGGCACATGATATGGACCGGCGAATCAGGATGTTGAACCATGAAAGCATAGTTAATTCTTAAATTATTGTCTTTATTTATTAGATTTTTACAAAATTTCAAACGATGTTATGCCTTCAAAATAAGAAATTCTTAGCACTAACATATTTTATGTGTATTTTGTATGTTGTCGCCAATAAAGTCTGCTTGGCGAGATTTGCGCCGGCAAAACGGAAAAGTACCAAATGATTTATGTCGTATTTGTTTCAAAATGTCGCTTCGGGGGCTACATGCTTCTCCTAATTAAATATTCTATTGGAAATATTTCTGGAACAAATTCTTCTAATAGTTCGTTAAGAGTACGATGAAAGCCGTTCTTTGTTTGCATTTCAGGCATTGAAATAAGTTAAACCCTTTGAACTCGACGCCTTTTTTGCTCGCGTCGACCAGCAACTAGAGAGAATTTTTCGCATATTTGGTACATTTCCTTGCGACTAACTTAGACTGATTTCACACACAATTTAAAGAAATCTAATGGTATGTCTGAAGGTACTTGCAGTCTTGGGGATCTTTCGCCGGATGCAAAACGGTATTCTGAATTTTCTATCTCTTCTGCGGAATAACTGTCACTTTCACATTCACTATCTATTATCATAATTTTTCAGCTTCTTGGACCTCTTACTTTATCGCTATCTTCATCACTGCTTTCCACTGTTTGTCGTCAAGTTTTCTATACACAGACGTAATTTCGTTTCGTCAACGAAAAATCGAACTCAACTTCTTGTGAACTGATTCCGTCGTCGTATCCATGCTTATTGGGCTACATAACTTTGAAAATAATATTCATATTGCCACGTCTGTTGAGTTCGAACTAACATCGAAAACGCATATATAACAATAAATCCAAAAAACATATTTAAGATTAGAGATTGGCAGTTTTTTTTAATACGCATGTATTGTTGAATACACTCATGAAGCGATATTACCCAAACCAAACCTAAATAAATGTCGTACTCGCTCGAATGATCACGTCATACTCATTAAAAAAGAAAAAAGGATTCTTGCTGGGTGTTGAGAAAGAAATGTTGGAGTTAATTCATATGTGTGCTCTAATTGATTTTATTTTATACTATGATTATCTTTATTTATTTATTTATTTTTTAAATTTCAAGATAGCGAATGGTTGCTTTTACAATACATAAAAATTTCAAGGCCATCATAAATTTCCCAATGTAAAAATTTAAAAATATCGGAAATATGATAATCGAAAACTAAGATTTATTTTGAAGTAATTATGGAAAACGAGTTAAATATTCGGAGTAGTCTTGAACTGAAAGATAATTTTTTGATCTGTTTGGTAATGTGCATGTGGGGGAGGGGGTAGAAGTTCGGTGATGGATAGCTCCATCGTTAAGTGAAGATCTATCTGAAAGAGAGAAGCACGTCAAGTAGCAATAGTGATTTTTTAAAAACAATCGCAATCAAATTTTTCAAATTGCTTCAGCTTGTGAATACAATTCCTCTTCTTGCATAATCTGCTCGTCATTGTATCATGGCCTTAGACACTAGGCTGCTTGGGATTACTAGGCCCTATTTCAAGTCGAAAACGTGTGAAGTTTCAAAGTAGATTAGTCCGAAATAACTTAGATGATTAATATCAGTCAATTTATTGAGAAACGAATACTCAAATCACATACATATTCAGATGAACAGACTTTAAAACCATCGAAGACGGTAAAGTGAGTCCTAATCAGATGGAGCCAGAAATGCATGAATATAAATTGCACATTAAAAAACAAATAACAGTTTACGAAGTAAAATACAAGAAAATATATAATACACAAGCATTTGATAATTTAATACGGCCACTGGCCTTTTTTGTGTTTTCTAGGATAATTACAAATTCCGATTTAAAGATTATTCTTCTACCCCTGGCGTGTATGAAAAGTTGTTGCGCAAATGATAATAATGCGTCCTTAATTGGATAATTTTCAGCTCTGCATAGATTCTGTTGTTGCAAATATAGCAGGGAAGTAGGAATTCGCCGTAGACCACAGTTCTGGGCAATTATAATCAGCACCAAATTTTGCACCTTTCTGTACGCTATGGGACACATAAGAACTTTTTTATTATTATAGCTACTATTTCTCTACGAATGTTAGTATGTATATCAAGAAGTAATTAATAATATTGAAAAAACATGTTGATGGCATTCTGGGATACTACTTTTCATGATTCCATTCGTTTATTAATTTTGATTTTGCTTTTAGGTGGATACGGTCAAATCGCAGAATCGATGCATACTCTTCATGAAATGAGTCAAGAGGAGATGGGTGTAACCACAACCCAAATCGAAGAGAACACAGAATACGTATTAGAGCCGATATCAAATCATCCCACCTACCTTGAAGGCAGTCCAGAATTCTACTCACCTCCAGGAGTTGTGATGGCCCCAGACACCAAATATCAAACCTCATACCTCAACAGGAACTACAGGGGTAAGCAAACTACCATTTCTTTTCCTGACATGATTTTTTTGCATTACGTAAGGTATTTGTTTCACTTAAGTTCAAAATTAAATAAAAATTCACGGTTAGAAAATATTAGTTCTAATAACAGTGCACCAACTGAAATATGCGGAACCCACGGGGCCGGATGGGGCTGTCGGTAATGGGGAAATTTCCGGAGGCACATGGCCTTATAGGTCAGCTGTATCACTAAAGATACCGGCACTCTTATGTTAATCGGCCGCGTGTCGCCAAGAGAGAATCCATCCTGAACGTGCTTTAACGCAAAGGTGCCGGCACTTCCACGAAATGTAATTTCTGCAAGTAATAAATTTAACTTCAGTGGTGTCGGTACCTTTATGAGGGGATTTCTATGTGATACCTAATAAAGATGCTGTAATATAAAGGTACCAGCACTTTCGCGAAAGTTGCTTTTTCAAGTTATAAACTGCACTTCCGCTTTATAGGATGTGGGCATCTGTAACAAACGGTGGTCCACTCCCATATACTGGCAATATTCTTCATAAGGGATGCCGGACGTCCCTTATATCTTGTTGAACAATGGCATGTTCAAGTTGGTGAGTGTTTATTTAGATCTTCACTGAAACGTCCCGGAATCTTGGCGAATGCTTCATTCATCATTATATAAACTGAAATGCCTGAAGGGTGCCAGCCAATCTTTGTGTCTATATATTTGTGGATATATAAAAATTCCGGATAGTTGGCTTTATAAGAAACTGAATTCACGTTAGAAAAGCTATACAAATAGGAAAAAGTTCTGACCGCATTTCAGTCTTAGAAAAACCGACCTATTTCATAGGCCTCATCGATTATGCACTCATGTCCATAAATTAAGGATATTCGCAGTCACGCGGAAATCGAACTATAAAATAAATATATCACCTGTAAAATCACTACACACATCTTCAAGAATCATATGCAAATTTCAGGAAGTAACCATATGACACCGATGGTACGTCACAATGACGAGAGTGTAAGAGAGTGATATATAAGGAATACAGGCAAAGAAGTAAAATTGTTCGCAGGCGCGTTATAAGCATTTCAGTGCAATAACCGAATAGTTATGACACAAAGGAGGCATTTGGAGGATTTTTTACGTGGTAGAATTATCGGCCGTCTGGTATGTGGGCGTACCCAACTGGAAGTATCAGTCGAACTGGGAACTGCCAAGAGTGTCATCTCCAGGCTTTGGCAACGATTCCAAGATGATGGTAATGTGAGTAGACGTTACAACACAGGTCGCCACAGAGTTACAACGCCGAATGAGGACCAGTATTTGGCAGTTACTGCCAAAAGAAACAGGCGAAGCACAGCCTCAGACCTGTCTCGTCAGTTCTCTTCAGCCACTGGTACGACAATTTCAAGGCAGACCGTGTACAAACGTTTAGGGCAGGTTGGTCTATATGCTCGTAGACCTGTCAGATGCGTTCCACTTACTGCAACTCGCTGTCGCCTGCGGTTAGCCTGGAGTAGAGAGCATGCATTGTAGACACCGCAACAGAGGGCTTGTGTGATGTTTTCCGACGAGTCCAGGTTAAGCTTGCAGTCTGATTCTCGCCAGACTTTCATATGGAGAGCTCCAGGTACCCGTTACCACCAAGAAAACATCATTGAACGACACCGTTACGGTGGTGCAGGAGTGCTCGTTTGGGGTGGAATTATTCTGGGTTCCAGAACTGACCTGAATGTTCAAATTGGAACCATGACAAGCCAAATCTATCGGGACGTCATTCTGGAACAACATGTACGTTTGTTTCGGGGCGCCATGGGCGCACAATTTGTGTTTATGGATGATAACGCCCGTTCTCACCGTGCAAACATCGTAAGCGAATGCCTTCAATCAGAGGATATCACTCGTATGGACTGGCCAGCATTCTCACCGAACTTGAATCCAGTAGAGCATGCGTGGGACATGCTTGGCCGACGAGTTGCAGCCCGTCAACCTCCTCCTACATGACTACCGGAACTTCGGAGAGCATTGCTTTTCGAGTGGTGTAATATCCCCCATGATCATATCGATAATTTGATACTCAGCATGCCTAGGCGTTGTACGGACTGTATTGCATCGTCCGGGAGACATACAATGTATTAACAATCATACCAACCATGTATTTTTTTTTTTTTTTTAATTTGCTCCAGGGAGAAAAAATCGGTAATTTTTTTAATAATATCAATTATATAGCATCTTTTTTTGCTCTTTACCTTTTGTTTAATAAATAAGCTTTACAAATAAGTCAAATTTGTTTTGCTTCTAACTCTTCCTTTGCCTGATTTTGCATTATCCTTAATTTATGGACATGAGTGTAGATTCCTGATTGGGTATTTCCTTGCAGAATGCTTTAGGAGATCAATTGTTATTGCATTGTCTCAAAAGAGTAGAACTTCTTTTCGCTATGAGGGTTGTTAAAAGACCAAGTTGAGATAGGGTTGTGGTAGGCTTATTAGATATAATTTGGTACTCAACCAGCAGCAACACACCACAATTGCTTCTTAACTAGTCAACTCATCCGACCTTATTAAGAGATTTGTCTGTCTATTTTAGGGAGGTACACACACCACGAAATGGGGTATTCGGAAAACTACAGTCCCCATCACTATGAGCCTCCATTTCAAACAGTTCCTGGCTCCATACAACCAGGTGGTCACTGGGCTTCCGATATGGGGAATCATCAACATCCTGGCTATGCTAACATCCCAAGAGATGGTCACACGTCGCTCAACAATTTACAGAATCATATGATCCCTGGGATGCATAGTCCAGTTTCAATACCTGGCCAGGACAGTAAGCCAGTAATACAAGCGGCTGTCTTAGCAGGATATTCAGGTAAGAATATTTATTATATTATTTTTATTTAAGGGGTTATTTTTTAAGCTATTTCACATTCCATTTACACGCAAGTTCAATTCTTGCATTTCACTTTTCTGATCATGTGTACCAAATCCACATAGTGTCAGGGAAAGGACTGATGAAGAGGAGAGGGGAAAAAAAAAAGGCACATCCAAAATCTATGTGTTTATTGAATTACGGTTTACACAACTGAAAAGGATTGCTCAAGAAGTTCTAGTACATCCCTTTATCAGCGTCGTTTATAGATACTAGACGATTCACTTCGGAGCTGATTCAAAGAACCAATTTACTTTACTGAGCGAATTTACTTCGATTCCAGAAAACAGAGCTGTAGCTTTTTTACAGCTCGTGGATAGTTTTTGTTGAAAGTATGTCAGGAATAGGCATCTGCTAGTCGTTCACGAACTGATTCACTTGATTGACCAAACGAACGCCTGATTCGTGGGTTGTTGGAAGCGGGCCAGGAAAGTTCGATTATCATTTTAGGGGAAAAAAAGAATGCTGTTAATCTTCCCATGTTAAAAGCTAGTTTAATTTTTATCATTTTCTAACTTTTTGGAACTTTTTATTCTAGAATTATGTTGTTAGTTCTGTGTAGAATCTGTGTGGTTTATGGGTAGTTCTGTGTATCTCAAAACTAATGAGGGAAATAAAATGAGGGAGGGAGTTAGCGTTTGAGTCGATTCTCCCGATCCCATGGCTCGTTTTATTTTATTTTTTTTCCGCTTTCCTTTAATACCTTGCTAACCAGACAAAATACTAGTTGAATATTATTATAATAGTAAAAGAGCTCGTTAAATCTATTAGAAATGGGTATTAGCGCAACTATCTTGACGCAGTTTGGCGATTTTTTTTCAGGGCAAGGAAAGAAAAAATGTGATTTATAATACTGTTGCGTGCGTACGGGTTCGTTATGAAATGAATGCACAAGTCCGATGAAAAATGAACAAAAATTTATTATTATCACAACAGAAATGCTTAAATTTTCTCAAATTATCATGCAGTATCACAATATCTCACAGTAGTTATCTTTTAACTACTTAAATGTACAATAGAACGTAATTCAAAACAGCTAAAGAACGCTAATCCGCGAATTCGCTATAATCAACAACGGCAGTTTTCTAAACAAGAACAAAACTAAGCAACTACTACAAACTGAGATGTTTTCCTCCTTTTATAAGATTTTAAAAATCACGCGCTAGAATTTTCCAGTACTTTCTCGAAATCAAAAAAGAGATATTTATTTATTTAACGCACGCGCTCTTGTATTTTTAATTTTTCCGGCTTAGCTTTCTTTTAATATTCGTCACGCGCTGCACTGCGCGAGAAATAAACACCATTTAATTTATAATTGAACTAACATTAGCTTTTTAAATACCAAATTCGTAACACTGCCCCCTTCCCAAGGACTTCACGTCCCGGGCAGTACAATCCCTGGACAGGAAGCTAAACTTACAACTGTGGCAAAAATGCATTAATAAGCATTACATTACAATAATAAACAACATGAACAATAAATGCAATAAATAAAACAAATCAAATGCTATCAAATACTAAATACAAAACAAATACTAAATACAAATCAAATACTAAATACAAATCAAATACTAAATGCAAATCAAATACTAAATGCAAATCAAATACTAAATACAAATCAAATCAAATACACATTTAAAAACAAAAAGGACCATGGTCTGATACTATTTACAATTATTTACATTATGTACTATGGCCATAGTAATAAGCTAACCTGTCGTAAGAGTTCGAAGACTCACGGATCCGAACCACGACGTCATTCGTGTTCAGCACTGTATATGGACCATCCGAAGGTGACTGTAATTTAGGACTAAGTCCTTTTCGTTGAATCGGGTTCCACAACCTCACCTTGTCTCCTTTGTTGGATCTATGTCCAGTAGCTCTCGTGTTGTATCTGGTCTTCACTTTCTCCGTCGTCAAGTTCACTCGCTTTCGTGCGAAACGGGGCATCACTTCAAAACGGGCCTGGACATCTTGGATGTGTTCCTCAGGCGATGAAGGCGCATCCGCACGGCGATCAAACAGGCGGTCACAAGGCAGACGAAGGTCTCGACCGAAGAGCTTCTGAGATGGAGAATAGCTGGTAGTCTTGCGTTTCTTTTCGACCCTAGCATGATTTCGGCGGCTTCCCGAGCTGGGTCTTTCGGACAAGGCGTCAGCATTTCCAAGTGAGGATCTCTTCTGAGGATGGATAGTCATGTCACCAGATGCTGAAAGCAGTTTGTTGTTTTTGAAGTCTAAGGAAAAATTGTATTTCCTTAAAAAGTCCAATCCGAGTATGCATGGATCTGTGATATCCGCCACATAAGCCGTGTGATGGTAGGCGGCACTTCCAAACGTGATGTTTACGTTTAACTTCCCAGTTATGTCGATCTTATCACCAGACGCAGTCTGAAGGGTAACACAGGATGGCGTCCAAATAAGTTTATCTTTAAACTGTTCAGCTAAGTCTTTCCTAATGATGGTAACATTAGCTCCTGTGTCAATGATCATATTGCAAGGAACTCCATCGATATTCCCATTAATGGACATTCCGTTACTGTTGCCACTCACTGTATAAATTTTAAGCGCTTTAAAACAAGGTTTTTCATTATCTGGCAACCTCCGTTCCTCGCTATGGTCACTAATTTGTTTCCTGCGTCGTTGCTCAGAAATTGTCTCAATTTTCGTACCCTGGGGTGTTCTGCAATTCCTTCGTACGTGGCCTCCAGCTCCACAGTTCCAGCATTTTGGTTTCTTGTCACTCCTTTTTCGTCCGAGAGCATTTAATTGTCTGTTCAACTCGTCTGTCTTATTTTCCGTGCTCTGGGGAGTTCTGCAGTTCCTTCGCACGTGGCCTCCAACACCGCAGTTCCAGCACTTTAGAACTGGTTTCTTTTCACTTCTGTTCCGTCTCAAGCCACTGACTTGTCTGGTAAAATCATCTGTTTTATTTTCCGTACCTTGGAGTGTTCTGCAATTCCGTCGTATGTGACCTTCACTACCACATTTCCAACACCTTAGAGCCACTTTGTTCTCGCTCCTACTCCGTATCAAATCGTTGACTTGTCTGGCTAATTCATCTAAACGAGCCATCAGTTGATCCCCTGGCTCGTGGACTCGCACAGCTCTGACTGGGTAGCAGTCAATCTCGACGGGTTGGCTTGCTGGGCTGCCTCGAATTTCATGGCGTACACTAGAGTGCTTTTCAAGTCTTTAACATCCGCCATTCGTAGAGCTTTCTGTATTTCAGGATCTCGGATGCCATCAATAAAGTATTGCAGGGACAGGATTTCCTTCGTTTCTCTCGGGCACTCTGAAAAGGCGATGATGTGTGACAGCCTTTCAACATCCGTGGCGAGCTCCTGGAAGTGATTTCGGTGGGCTTCTGTTGACGGAGATTTTAATTGGAGCCTACTGTAGTCTTTTAAACATTTCTCGCCGAAGCGCAGCTCCAAAGCGCCGGATAGAGCTTCGAAATCTAGCCTTTGATTTTCGGGAAGCGTCTGCAGGATATCCGCTGCGTCTGCTCTCAGAGAAGCGGCGAGATGACAGACCTTAGCTTGGGAATCCCATCCATTCGCATCCGCAACGATAGAAAATTGTGTCCTATACACCTGCCAGGAGGTCTTCCCATCATATGTAGATAGTTTCAGAACGGAACGAGCAGGCATCGATAAAAATTTGAAACCTTCAGAATTGTTTCCTACCGTCGCTATGCACTTCTTTAGGCTGTCAACTTCTTTGGCGACGGCAGCAGAAACCCTATCATCAATTTGTTGTTCGACGGCAGAAACTCTCTCTTCTATATGTTCTTTTAGAGAAGAAATTCTTTCTTCTACTTGTTCTTTTACCGAAGAAACTCTTTCTTCTATTTGTCCAACTTTAGTTTCAACCGCGTCTATTCTGCCTTCCATAGCCTCAAATTTATTTTCTATTACGCAGGTAATTTCTCTTTTCATTTCGTCCTGACCTGCTTTCATCTCATTTTTAAGAGATTTCATCTCTTCCTTAACGGATTCCTGGCCCAACTTCGTTTGTTCCTGTGCCGTTTTCATTTCTTCCTTGAGGGATTCCTGGCCCAATTTCATTACTTCTTTAACGGACCTTTGACCAGCATCCATTTTCTCTTTAATTTCTTCTTTAAAAGATGTTTGGCCAGCTTCCATCTTTTCTTGGAAAGCAGCAAAAGCAGTAATGAGCTGTCTCAATTGTTCTTCCATCCCTCTTGTTATTGGCATTCAAATCCCACTCCTGACACCAAAAATTGTTGCGTGCGTACGGGTTCGTTATGAAATGAATGCACAAGTCCGATGAAAAATGAACAAAAATTTATTATTATCACAACAGAAATGCTTAAATTTTCTCAAATTATCATGCAGTATCACAATATCTCACAGTAGTTATCTTTTAACTACTTAAATGTACAATAGAACGTAATTCGAAACAGCTAAAGAACGCTAATCCGCGAATTCGCTATAATCAACAACGGCAGTTTTCTAAACAACAACAAACTAAGCAACTACTACAAACTGAGATGTTTTCCTCCTTTTATAAGATTTTAAAATCACGCGCTAGAATTTTCCAGTACTTTCTCGAAATCAAAAAGAGATATTTATTTATTTAACGCACGCGCTCTTGTATTTTTAATTTTTCCGGCTTAGCTTTCTTTTAATATTCGTCACGCGCTGCACTGCGCGAGAAATAAAACCATTTAATTTATAATTGAACTAACATTAGCTTTTTAAATACCAAATTCGTAACAATACAATTGTAAAAAATTATTTGTTTCGTAGAAGATGTAGCTCAAATGAAGATAATTTCAGTTTTAAGTTAATAATTTAAAATGATAAATTAGGTAAACTGATAGCTATAGCTTAAGTAAGAATATCTCATATTATGTTGAATTTCCTCATCAAAGTGTAATAATTTAAAATGATAAATTAGGTATATTATTAGTTATAAGCTTAAGTAAGAATTTCTTATACAATATTATATTTAATTTCCGCATCCAAGTATGTATTCATTTAAAAAAAGGGCTAGCTGTTTTTGAAAAAATATGAAACAGGAGGCTCTCTAAATTTGTTATTAAAAACTGAAATCTTAAGGTTTCATAGAATTGTTGATTTAAAACCTGAAAGGTCCAAATTGCTCCACTTAGTTGTTGCATTATGAGCATGATCGTTCATGTAACTTCAAATAGAGTTTAATGTTATTTATTTTCTACCCCAGTTTTGAATAATTTTATTAGTAAGTGTTCTTCTTTATTTTTATATTAAGTAAATGTCTTCAAGTGCAGAGTATAATTTATTACATTCCAGTACGTACCTAAAGCATTTTAAAATTGTTTCAGTTATTATTATTATTATTTTTTAATAAAGATGTTTCCCTTGCCTTTCTTATAAAAAAGCATTAAGTATTCAGTTTAGTTTGACTTTAAAGTGTTACATGGAAAATAAAAATATTCATGGATACATCATGGATATTGAAATTCATGGATATCAATTCATGGATATTGAAAAGTGTTACATACAGTAAGTCATCTTATTCTAGCTAAGCCATAATTTCCATAATAAAAACAATAATTATTTCTTTTAATTATTCTGATTCGTATAGTTGTAACTTTTATGCATACATTTTAAAATATAATAACTAAATCAGCATGGCAGCATGATGTCCCATTTTAGCCTTTCCCACTTCAGGCCTTTTGGAGATGGCAAAAAATATGGCGCTCTTTTTTTGGGGGGGGGCGTTGGGGGTGAGATCGTGAAAGAAATTTTTTTTAAAAATAAAATCAAAACAAATTTAGCTTAAAATTGTGTTATGTGCATATGCCATACTAATTTCACTGACTTCACATTAAATCTATTCGATTTCTAAGCCATTGAATGTTTATTAGCAAGAAAAACCGTCTTACTAACTTCTTTAGAAACAGAAATTGGTAGATAAAATTCACATATTTTAAGTGTTTGGAAATAAATTCCAAGAAACAAGAAAATTCGAAAAAGAAGAGTTAAAGATGGATGAAGAATATTTATTTCTGCTGGGAAAGGTTATATTCTTTATTTGAATACTGTATAGTAAATCTGTTTGGCAGATGGTCATAAAAAAATTCATTTTCTATACATACTCGTAGTTGCCTAGAAATATTATGTGTAATATACAGGACACAAGCATTAACAAGATCTAATACTTTTTATTGATACAAACGATTTTGTGATTCATGCGAAGATTTTTGATGATGAATATAGGTGAAGTTGCCCTTAGCAATCTTTGAACAAATAAAAACATCAGAAAAGTTCTACAGCTTTCTAGACAGACTTCTGAAGAGAATTCAGTACCTTAGGCTTGAAGCTCAATGAAATAATTGGTTTTTACTGCCCGATGATGCACCGTCACACATTCTTGCCAAGCAATTTCTAGAAAAGAAAAATGTCAAAATTTTCAACCACCTCACATATTCGCCAGATTTGGTATCACCAAACTACTCTATCTTCTGTTAAGTGAAATATCACCTCAAACGTCATTTAATAGAACTCAAGAGATTTAGAAAACCATAACTGCGGACTTTAAAGGAATCAAACAGTATGCACGAAGATGCTAAATGTCATACAGACTTATAAGAATTGTGTATTGAAAGCTAACAATTGTTATTTGAATAAAAGAACTAGAAGATTGTTTTCTTCAACTTTAAGTTTTGTAGGAACTTAGTTCTAAAACTTTTTTGATGCACTGTATATGAAATATTTCCTGGCAATATAGAAGTATTTTAAAATGAACCACTATATTATGATGTAGGTGTTGTTCTTTACTTGAATTTTCCCTTCACATAGAACTAACTTTTTTTTTTTTTTTTTTCTTTTCTTTTTAATTCGTGCCTTTTACTTGCGTCGGTATTTATTCTATCAGTAAGGAAAAGCCTTTAAAATTTCACTTTTATTTCATATGGATACTGTATTTATAGCGCACATATAATTTATTATAATATTACACTTGTAACCGACATATGGTAAAAACTTCTAAAATCAGTAACAATGCTTTTTGTTTTCTTAATATTGAAATTCTATCATAAAACACAACTTATTTCTAATAAAGGGTAGGTGATTAGTGTAGGTTAGCGTTTTTAAATCAAATTTCTAAATGAACGAGATCTAAGTGCACATATTATTGAATAACCTTATGAAAAGTTTTTTTTTAAATGCAAATGTTGCCAGTTTATTTTAGATAAATTTTAATATTGTTGAAGACATTTATAATACAGCGTTTTTTTTGTTTTGTTTTGTTTTGTTTTGTTTGCAGGAAGTGGACCAATACAGCTCTGGCAGTTCCTCTTGGAATTATTGACTGATAAATCGTGCCAAAATTTCATCAGCTGGACTGGAGATGGTTGGGAATTTAAACTAACAGATCCTGATGAAGTTGCTCGAAGGTGGGGTATTCGCAAAAACAAACCAAAAATGAATTACGAGAAATTAAGCAGAGGACTTCGTTACTATTATGATAAAAACATCATTCATAAAACAGCAGGCAAACGCTACGTCTATCGTTTTGTGTGCGATTTACAGAACCTTCTTGGGTATTCTCCAGAAGAACTCCATGCTATGGTAGAACTAAAACCAGATGTAAAAACAGAAGACTAACAGCCATTGAACATAATCAGATCTGGTCATATTTGTAAGAGGTTTAGGCAATATTTATTGTACAACACAAGTTGTTCAAGACTTCAGCGAAGTAAGCAGTATTGCTGGATGATATGACACCATATTTACAGTTTTAACAAAGAAACCGTTCTAGTTACCAAAGTTTCAGGATGTGGCTTCATACGATCAGAAACACTAGAGTATTTAAGAGAAAAAAGACTAGTCAATGAAATTAAAGTCCTTGCTCTGGATATTAGCCACACCTTATTTAAAATGTTACATAGTCAGTCTTCTTGCCTGCTTCATTACAGAAACATATTTTGTATATAGTTGAGCCTATTTAATGCCAATATATTTATCCTTGAATGAAATATGAATAATTATAAAGCAAATGATTTTATGCACACTAGGCACCATTTATAAATATTTTGAAAATGTTGATTTATTTTTGACTAGTCTTTATATTTGGACAAAGTTTTACCAATGTTGAACATTCTATTTAATTCCTTAAAATGTTGTGGCTTTTACAAGTGCCTTACAAAAGGCCATCCTTATGACTGTGTTTTTATCATGTGCAAATCATCAATTTTTACCATTAATATTTGCAAATATATAGCTGGAATGCCAAATATAACGAAGCATTTTGTAAGAAATGCTTAGTTAAAACACAGTTAATTAAAAAAATTAACTGTGTTTAAATAATATACACATAATATGTAATAAATTAACACATAACTCATTTTATATAATATTTGAAATAATTTAAATGAATAATAATTACTAAAATTTTTAAGCTAAATTTAAAAATCACAGAAAGTAAATTATTAATTTACTAAAAGTGCATGAAAAATTTTAAAAACAGACATTGATTTCTCTCGAGTTCTAACATGCTTTATATATAGTTCTAACATAATTTATAGCCATGCAAAATATATCAAGATATAACAGGAAACCTAGTATTGGTTCTTAAAAGTTTTTAATATTAAAATATACTGTAGCATATTTTTTGTAGCAGTCATAATCATAATTAGAATCAAAGGTACTATTCCGTTTTGAAGACCGTAAAAAAATTGCAGCGAAAATGTATGTGCAAAAGCGCCAAATCTAGCAAACGCGCCCATTTAACAGTGCGCCAAATCTAGCGTACGCGCTGATTTCAGATTGCGTAAGTTTATATAGTTCGGCTAATCTTTTAATATGGTAACAGGTAGTTTGGCGACATTTTGGTAAGGCGATAAAGGTTACTAACTAGGACTTTAGCAGTGTACATGGATAAAGTCAAGAGTGTGCGCAATGCCATTTTTGTGCAATTCTAGGATTTTTTTTTTTTAGTGAAAATAGGTCGACGTGTACATGGATGATACTGTGTATGTGCAATTCTTAAAAACGCGGCAAGCAGTTTGCGATTCTGCACTTTCTCCCAATTTCGCACCTAATCTTCATTACAATTAAGCATTTTTGTTCCATAAAAGTTCCAGTATAAGCGTAATTCGGCTAGCAGATTGTTGGAAAAAAAATGTAGAGTTAAAAAAAAAAAAAAAAAAGTCTTTACTTCGTGAAAACAAAATGGCGTCCAAAACAAAACTAGCAGGTTGCTGTAGCATAGTTGGTTGCCAAATTTTAGCCAAAAAATCGCCAAGTTACCATAATCCAAAGATTAGCCTATAGTTCTATATTTCTTAAGACGTCATTGAAATATTAGTTTAATTTTTAAATCCTTTTTTGATATCCTATGGATTTAACAATTTGGGAATTGCCCATGACGAAAAGTCTGTAGAATTTTGAGTAAAGTGCAGAATCCTCCACTGCTTAACGCGTTTTTAAGAATTGCACATACTCTATCCATGTACACATCGACCTATTTTCACTTAAAAAAAAATTCCAGAATTGCACAAAAATAGCACTGCGCACACCCTTGACTTTATCTATGTACACATCGACCTATTTTCACATAAAAAGTAAAAGAAAATTGACAAAAATCCAATTGTTTTTACCCTTGTAAAAAGCGGCAAACAAATAAGTGGGCGATTCTGCACTTCACCGAGAATATTTTCATAGAAAAGGCATTATTCATTATAGAAAATTATGTTTGAACAACCAACGAGATGAAATTATGCTTATGCATTTTTTTTACTCGGTAGCGAAATAGCGATGCAGGCATCCATTCAGTTATGTTTTGCAGTTTTTATATAAATTACAAAAATGATCTGAAATAGTTATTTACTCTTATGCTTCCATTCAGTCATGTTTAGCCTTTTTTATATAAATTATAATAATAAAAAAGTATTATACGAAATTAACATTTCATCTAAATTAAATCATCAATCTTAAATAGTTATTTACTATACTTCATTTTTTGCCTTAGGGTTGCCGCAATTATTTTTGGCAGCAACAATAGTTTGGCGATTTTGTACGGTCCTCAAAACCGAATCAAATTATGTTGTTCAAAATATTTTGATACTAAAATAAGTTATTCTAGCGCAGAGAAAATATAACCTTAATTTCGTTTTCATATATTCTAATTCCATGATGCAGTTTGTATTTTTATTCATTTACATAGTTGCTTAAATTTTAATTAGCAAATGAATTTTGTGTATTAATGTAATAAATAATGTATTAAGTTACTTCAGAATGTTGCTATAATTTCAAATACTGTAAAACCATATCTTAAGTATTTTGTAATTACAGTTGTTTTCAAATATCCTGTTATAATGTGATAATTATGTATAATAATTGCAATAACTTGAATTAATACTATAAGAACTGCAATTTTCAGGCTTTAGTTGTTGGCATTCTTCAGGTAACTGGTTAGTTTTAGAATTTAGAATAGGTATCAATATTTAAACAGTTAACTTTATAAAGAACTTTAATAATATTACACACAATTGCTCTGTTTACAAACTGATATTTTATTAAATCAAATTTTTATCTGTTACCAAAGATTAAAAGTTTTCACAATGAACTGAGAAAATTATATATTAAGATTTAAATGGTGCTCAGTTATCAGTCAGTTGTTGTAAATAATAACAAATATGAATTAATGTCATTTTGTTCATATGCACATATGTAAATATCACACCTTATATTACAAGTTTATCATGCATAATATTCTACTTTGTTATGTGTATTTGTATCACCAGTTCTGTAACTGTACTCATACCATATGTATCATGTTAATATTACAGAAGTGCCTTCATTGATGACTTGTTAAAGTTTTATTAATAATTGTTATAGTAACTTGCTGGAAAGGACATTATATATTTATAATCTATTTTTATAATTTTATTTTAGCAAACATTAACATTTTAAAGATTTTTTAAGTCATTTTAAAATTTGAAGTCTTTTTGAAGTCATAAAAAATACTATTTTATCAGATTTTTAAATATATTTTTATCAATAGTTTTTAGCTCTGAAATTTTTCATATTCATCTAATATTTTTTCACCAGTGTTTGTAAATAATAAACAATAATTCAGAGATTTTAAAAAAGGACTGGAATATTTTATATTTTCATTTTTTAATATGTTTAGATAAATTTTCTGAAAAATGGAGGTTTGAATATTTGTATATTAAATAAAGATTAGCAGTTACTTTATATACAAGACTGGCATATTTCTTGGTAGTCATTTTCTTATTGTCCATGAAAAATAAAATTCTCAAATGTTACTAATTTAAAATTCTAAAAAAATTAATTTTTAGGAATTATTTTGATGTGAAAATAATCTTTTTTGTTGAATTTCTCATGCTGTTTAACGAAGCTGTGTATTTCCTGCAGCAAACAATACACATTCATTATGAGGTCAGTAATAAGTGCCCACAAGCTTAGAATATTTTTGTATTAATTCTGGATTACAGTATTAATTACTGGCTTTGAAGCTCATAAACTATTTTCTGTGTGCACTTGCTGGCATGGAAAATAATTAAGATCGTATATGTATTCAAAAAAATTTAGAAGACATTTCAAAGAAGTTGCCTTAGCAGTATCTTCCAAAATTTGAAGCTAAAAATAAATGGACAAAATGACTTAAGAAATTAATGTTTGAAATGGGAAAATTTTTTGAAATCAAAATGTATAATCTTGATACTTGAAAGTACAACAGACTAATTGTTTTTGATTTTTATAACATTAAATTTGATGTATTTTAATCAGTTATGAACTAGAAACAAAATTTTAGCCATTGTTAACAATATTTTTATGCTATTTCAATCACTCTAAACTTTATGTGCTGTATTCATATCTTTCTAAACTAAATTATTTTTAAGCTCTGAAAACGGAAATTAATTTTCTATAAGAGGCTAATATATTTAATCAGTTTTCTGTTTTTTAACAGTTACAACACAATTAAATGCACGTCATTTTTAAGAATAAGTTTTTTTTAATAAGCGTTTCCAAAGAACTATCAACTGTATAATGTAGGCTGGAATAGTTTATTTCTGTATTCTGTTTCCTTAGTCATATTTATTTCTACTGCATTATGTACTTTTATATCTCCAGGTACATAATATCCTCAAAATATTGAACATTCCAAATAAATGTTTAGTGGTCCACAAAATTTATCCCGGCTAACAGAAACTGAAAATTTCTGGGAGAAGTGTATAATACAGTAAATATATGCATCTTTTTAGTTGCTATATTAAGAGGTTTTTAAATAATGATCTGCAATATCAGTATTTTGTTCAAAAAAAAGAAAACATGCACCTTAAAAATGATTTTCTAGCAAGTTCTTAACTTTTAAAATGAACCAATCTGTGATGTGCAGCTTGCAGAGCTGAATTAAGACGCACATGAAATACTATATTAGCACTTTTATATCAAGTGATGATAAAAACGAAATTTCGAATATGTGTATGTTGTGCAGTTGTAATGATTTCATTCCATGTTAATTATGAAGTGAATGCTTGCGTGATTTTTTTATTTGTGAAATGTCTGGTCAATTTCACACTGTTTTAAATACCAAAGTGTCTTAAATCTTGTTTTAGTCACTGTTGAATTTAGAAATCTGAAAATAAAATATATAAAACTTTATGTGGTGTTTTGTGTAGATTGCAGTAACTAAATCAATCAACAAGATTAAATATTTTAACTAAAAATATTCATTTATGACATTTCAAATATGCAGTGATACTTTCCAATTATGCTAGTCATGGCAAGTAACAGAAATGAATTCTTATGAAATTAATTCTCTGCATATATACATAAACCACAACTAAAGGAAACAGTCAAAAAAAATTATAAGGCTTTTGAAAAATATTCGAGAATAAAACTTGTATTACTAATAAAATGACAGCAACAAATTTATTACATCACTAAAAAACTGAGTAGCTACGAAGTTGAGAAGTTTTACATTAATATATTAAAGTTGTACAGTATGCTGCAAAATTAAGCAATCAAAATTAAATCATGAAAGGGTTTAATATTCTAACAGTTGCTTAGTTTTATATATACACACATACATATATATAATGTACAAGATAAAAAAATATGTAAATAAAAATTCTGATTTAAATTTAATATAGTTCTTTCACTTTTTATTTTCATACGGTTATTTTCCTAAAAATAGCTCATAATAAACTCTATTATTTCAAAATTAATCCTTTTTATATGATTCTTGCATAAAGCTTCAACCAATAACAATTTTAAATTTTTTGCAGCAAATGGAGAAAAAGCTGAACTAAAACTAAATCACTCTGAGCCAAGTTTTCATCTTAGACATATTGCATTCTCTCTCGCTCCCCTTCTGGTACTTATTCCTTCATCAAAACTTATAAAAATGTAGAAAAGATACAAATGTTATCAAGAAAGGTATATTGTAATTTATGTTAAGAATAACTTCTCATGAATAAAATGTTAAATTGGCCATTATGACAGTTAACCTCTTTTTACCATCTACGTCTTTATTAAAGTTATCATTACACACACACACACACACATAAATATGTTGGGTAATCCAAAAGTAACAACAACAAAATAATTCGAAAAGTATAATCAGTAGGACTGTAGATTTCACAGAAAGGTATGGGAGTTTTTTTAATTGTGAAACTTTTTTTAGCTGGAATAGTTACATTTTTCAACAACAGGTGGAGCTTCTTTGGGTAATTAGTTTGTATAAAGTGACACAGCACAGTTTACATTGGTGTAAAATTGGGAGAAGCTGGAGACCA